CCCTCCCTCCCTCCCTCCCTCCCTCTCTTTCCACCTGTCAGTCTGTTTTCCAGCACTTTCCTCTTTCCCCTCTTCCCCCATCTTCCTTCCCATCCTTCTCCCTCCCCTCCCTCCCTCCCGCCTGCCAGTCTGTTTTCCAGCACTTTTCTCACACACCACTTCCCGAATCGTGCTGTGACACCTCACCAGAACAGACTGTGTGGTGACCATCTGGCCATCGCCTCCAACAGGCACTGCTACCCTGTGGAAGGCGGCAGTTGAGGGCTCACGTTTTACTCTTCAGCATCCCTTTTGCTGCTGTCCCTGAGCTGCTCCTCCGGCCGTTTTTCTCTGCTGAACTTGGTGTTTAACCTTTCCTGAAATCGCTTCTCCTGCTCTTCCTACTGACATTGGAGCGACTCATCCTGGGAGGTGCTGTGTGAGACCAGTGCCGTGAGGGTAGTGTGCTCAGCCAGCCGGTCGTGTGTGTGGGCAGCCTGGGTCTGTATCCGCATCCTGCCGTGGAAGTGAGCCGGCTGGCTGAGAAGCGTCGTTTGTGGGTTTCATGAGCTGACGTTATTTGGGTATTCAAGGTGAGGGAGTTGGTAAATCATCATTAGCATCATTAGCATAGTGACTTACACCTTTATCTAAGTATTTGGTCACTTGCCATGCATCGCTCTCTGCAGCTGACCTTTTTCCTTGGGATTCCTGATGTTTATAGCAGGAGTGCACTTACATAGACACACACAGCAGTAGGCGTGCACGTACGTATATTCGCTCATGCACACACACCCACGCTGAGGCTTTGTTAATTGACGTTAAGTGCTGGTGTTTTTTTCTTACAAAACATATTTCTCTACTGGTCTATTTGCACTGCTTTGTTTTAGCTTCATCTAATGCACTGGAACTCCACGCTGTACAGCAGCATTGATGAGGCAGTAGGGAAGAAGCACGGCATAGCTATTATTGCTTTGTTTGTGCAGGTAAGTTCCCTGTGTTGCATTTGTTACCATGCACTGTCATTTGTCTGAGGAAAACGAGTTCTCTTCCATTTTCTTTCATTTTTAGTGATTTCATAAAATAAAAAAATGTATGACTGCTGGTATTCTATTCAAAAGGTACTTCTCAGTCGTGCCTTCTGTGTAAGTGCTAAACAAGCAGTTCTTGTTTAAGCAGGATGTTGGAAGGGTGTTAGTTAAAGAAGGGATCGTCCATAGTCGCCCATCTCTCCTGGACTCTGGCCATAGCAGACATCCAGACTCCATTCCACAGAGGGCAGCATGAGGGCTGTCAGGAGGGGCAGGTACTTCGCTGGCTCTGTGATCTGCTTTCCTCCATCCCTGGCCAGGCCTGCTGTTCAGGGACTGAGGAGACAAACAGAGGAGGAAAGAGGAAAAAAACCCTACTAACCTGTTGGCACAGCCGAAAACTGGTAGTAGGGTTGTGCTTTCCTGAACACAGGGACACGTGTGTGTCATCCTACAGGACAAACGTGAGGTGGGGTCATACTAATTCTTCAGAGATGCCAGCCTCAGAGTGTAAGGAGTCTTGCCACGGACCCTCAGAAGAGCCTGTGACGAGGAGGCTAAAGCTTCCTGGGGAGAAGGTGTGGCACCAGCTGGGGAGTCAGCCCCCTAAGCTAACAGCTGGTTTCTCCAGGGCTGCACCCTAGAAGGGAGTTTTTCAGTTTTAGTCCTCAAACGTCAGTTTCTTGTCCCCCTCATGAGAAATGGCAAACTGTTTTATTGAAATGCATTTGGAGGAAGAGGTTTAGAGTTCACGCTGAGATCAAATGGATTTTCTTTCACAGTGATGCTATTAATTTGTCGTATTTCATAACGAGTTTATGGGTGCCTTTGAGCTTTACCTCTGTGTGAATTTAAAGGTACATTGGTTACAGCTCCAAAATTCATATAGAACTGCTAAAAATGGAAGTTAGAAAGTCTTCAGTTTTGTATCCTAGAGGGCTGTGTGATAATTGCTTATGTAAGTCACCTTCTAATTCCAGCAGAAGTAACCTTCGAGTTAGTTAGAAAGTTATATAGAAGTTCTTAAATAAATCTGAAACTTCAATGATATATTTTCCATTCCTGGTCTCTCACCTTCATCACAATTAAGCAGTCCAAAGGGCTTTTTCATTAGCCAAGAAAGGCATCATTTAATTACAATTGACCAGGGAAAAATAGTATTTATGCTGTTTATTAGAGGAACAGGGAGAGGATATTTGGTGACCATTTTTTTCCTGTTAAAGGCATGGAAATAGAGTAGTTTTGCACCACAGTTCTCAAACACATAATTTTAAGGTCAGTGAAAATATTTTCACTGATTTAAGTGACAACCCTTGGTGATTATTAATTTAGAAACAGTGTCTTTGAAGTGATTTCAATATCTTTTATGCACTTTGACGGTTTTAAACTGAAATCCCATTCTGAAACAAAAGAAAATCCTCTTAAATTCCTAGAAATAACAAAGTACTTTTTGTTGACATTCAATTGTTTCCTTCCAGTGACTACTGTGCCATTCTATTCCAAGAGAAACAAAAAGCAAACAAGTTTTTCAGGGTCTAGCTCTCCTGTTCTCACTCATGCCTGCTTCACTCCTCGCCCCATATGTGTACATGTTGGCAAAGAAATCAAGTGGCAGGCCACTCCGAGTCTTCCTATTTTGACAGTGTTGTTCTGGAAGTAAAACCTAGGGTCCTAGAATGGGTGATTTAGGTCAGAAGCAGCTGAAATCAGTGTGTAGAGTGAACAAACTTCATGGAAAATAAGAATCTCTTATTTCAACAGTGGGTTTCTTTTCAGAGGCCCATCTTCTGTGCCTTAAAGGCGCTTGGTAAAGGCAATGCTGCCAGCTGCCAGGAGCTCGGCTTTCGCTGGCAGGGTCTCAGAGATGCCGTGAGGGAGGGGATCTGCCATTCTGCTCTCTGTGGGCAGGAGAAACTCCTCCGAGCTTCAGAGACTCCTTTGCAACGCTGTGGGAACAAATTCAAAAAGTGTCTGTCGTGCTTGTTCACTCTGTTCTTTTCTGTGTACTTTCCTGACAAAAACTGGTAAAGACAAACTGTACCCTTCACGTCTCTGTGCCATGATGCTGCATGATTTTGACTCCACATGCAAAACAGGGTTAGTCAAAACTTACCAGACTTACCTGTGACTCTCTCTCTTGTTCTGTGAGTTTCCGTCTCTGCTTTAAAGTTAATTACACCTCATTTACTTTTGGCTGGTGGCTTTATAGTGATGTAGTTGTTTGGAGTTGCCATGCGTCAGTATTTGCTTAACAAGAGGTTGTGTAGCTTAACTAAAAACAACTACAGAGCTTACTGTGCTGGTTGGCCTCTGTCTTGCCTCACAGTTTCTGAAAGAGCAAAATACTGAAACTCTTCTTTGCTTGCTGTATTTCAGATAGGAAAAGAACATGTAGGCCTAAAGGCTGTCACTGAAATTCTCCAGGACATCCAGTACAAGGTAAGGCATTGTCTGAAGAAACGCTTCCTTCACTGACCAGAGGGAGAGTAAGTGAGCGAAGCATCTTTATGAAGCCAAGAGAAGGGTTTCAGATGTGTCTGTAGTAAATCCAGCATTTGGTGGCCTGCATGAGAACGTCAGCATTTTACAGTATTTGGATATTAAGCAGCCTTTTAGTTACTTCCTTTTCTGGTGGCCAGAACGTTTGATCTCCTGTACCAGTAACTGGTTGCAAACTCTGCCTATTCAGTGATTGTCACGGGGTCAGTCTGAATGCCAGCACTGCAGCACACTTGGTGACCACCAGCAGCAGTATCTCCAAACTTACCTCGTTTTAATTTGTAGAGGAAAAGAATAGATGAACGGAGCACCCATTATAACTTGAGGGGGGAAATCGGCAAAAACACAGTGTCCTCTGATCAGGTGGATTATGTGTGGGGGTCCTGAAGGACAGAAAATAAGCCCAGCAGGTCTGAGGAGACACGAGTGCTCTCCAGAATGTCAATGCTATCTTAAATGACCTTGGGCAAGCTAATGACATCTCTCTGGTTCATGGTCTCTGTCTGTAACATAGAAATAATCATACTTACCTTTGATTTTACAGGATTTTGAGAGGTATTAATAAGATGTTCTGTATTGGTCTGGAGAGATTAGCCGTTCACTTCAGTGGATGCTGAAGCATAGAAAAATTAGAAGCTGTTATTAGAAGGGAATTGAAAATCTTCTTTTAGTCAAAAAATACATGGTAAACTTCATCCATGATGTTTAATGTTGCAAACTTGTTGTTTATGAAGGTGTCAGAGAAAACAGTAGTGTATGGAACTCATAACTGAAAGGACAGCCGAGCAGAGGAAGGTCACGAAAGGCCTTGTCATTGTGAATGTGTTACACTAATGACTTTCAGAGGGTCAGCATCAAACCTACTTTTGGCATCCATAAAATTTTCTTGGGTTAAATATGTGGAACCAGCTTTATTTGTGTTATCCACGTCAGGCAAGGAAAAGCTCACTTTGGCCCTTGTTTTTTAAACTCATTTTGTATGGAACCCCTGAATTTCATGTAGAGAATTTCAAGGCTGGGACCTGGAAGGAGCCCAGGCGCTAAAGGCAGAAAGTTAACAAATTGCTGAGAAAACCTTAGAAGTAAAATACAAAATAGAATTAAAAAGTGTGTTTGTGTAGCTGCAAGCACAAACACAATGATGATTAAATGGGGGCTATTAGGGAAGTTGCTTTGCTCAGGAATTCAAAGCATAATGTTATAAGAACACAGAGTGTGTTTTACCTCTCCGTTCATCATCATTTTAATAAGGAACTAGAGATGAGATTGATTTTATTCGTTTTTTCAGGGAAAGTCCAAAACAATACCCTGTTTTAATCCCAACTCTTTATTGCCAGGTAGGTGCCTTTGCTTACTTTTGTGTGTGTGGATTACAGCTAATTGCAGAGGCTGAGATAATCTTGATCTGAAGCACAGCCTAATTGCAAGCCTGAGAGAGTGTCCCGTGAGGTGGTAATGCGTTTGCACCTAGTGCTGCTAACAGGGACAGGGCTGAAGTCCCTTTGGAACTTAGGATAAATCCTCACCTTCGTGTTGTGTGAGTGGGATGTGACACTGTAGTCCATGCACTGCTGGCAACGCTGTGGCTAGCTTTCTTCATGAGTTACCATTCCACCCAGAGAGGCAGCTGTGTGCCCTCCTTTCTCTACTTTGGCATGAAATAGGAAGCGTGAGGTTACCTGCTTACCAGGGTGGCTTTTTGGCAGCATCAAAAGGCAATGCCATAGTGCAATGGCAATTGTATAGCGTGCAAGGAGTAGTGGCAATGGGAGGCAAATTCAAATTCATGTAGCCGAAAGTTGAAGAGTAACAGTAAGAAACAACCGCTTCCTCTACCATGTCTTGAAAAACAATCTGACTTTTTAAAAAATGCATTTCTAGAAGAGGAATATTTCTGCAAGGAGCTAAATTCCATGTCACAGAGGCAAGATCTTTAATTTTCCAAAGTAATCCAGGTCTACATTAAACTATATTAATTATATCAAAAGAATATTGGTTAGGTTGCAAAGTCAAGCGCTCAGCAATTAGGAATTGCAGGAATTAAGGCTGCCTGTGCCACTTCGTGCATGTGCATTATAAAACATCCTTTAATGGCGTGTCCATGAGCTATTTTTCACAGGACCCCTGCCTCTCAGGTCCTGTTCGATGCTGATCAAGCCGCACACACCACAGTTTTCCCAAGTCCTCTCTAACTACGTGTTCCTCATTTTCTAGGTGCCTGACTTGAGATCATGGGGTCTGATGGGCAGGAGTGCTTACACCTCCAGCTGGAGTCAATGGGAGCAGTGCTCTGACTGCGTTAAGTGCTATAGAAAGTTAACTACTCTGAGAAATCAGGTCCTAAGCATCTCATATTGAACACCTCAAGTGAATAGATGCATTTGACTGTATCTTTGACCGTGCCTCAGTTCCCCAGCTTCAAAGTGCGGGGGGAATCTGTCCTTCCTCACCACACTGGGGTGTTGGAAGGATAAATTAATTCATGTTTGTGAAGCACTCAGACACTGAAGAAATGAGTGCACGAGAAATAGGAGAAATTGTAGTCCTCCTAATAAGCAGGATTTGGATAGCATGGGGAAAAGAAGACCAAGGACCATATATTTGATCTGAGAGATCCAAATGTTATTAGATGCTTTTCAAAAGAAAATCATCCGTCTTTGCAAGTAAATGATGAAAGGGTCTCTAGAAAAGACATACGTGATGATGTAACAAGATGGTGTCACAACACATGCACAGGATGGGCTGAATTAATTCTTGCCGTTCTTAACTTTTGAGTGTTTGATAATGCAGCTTGCTTTCGATGGATTTGCTCTGTAACTCCCTAACTGGGAAAGAAAATTCCACCAACAAAATCCAGTCACTGACAACCACAGGCGTCATTAGCAAGATTTAAAGCTGCTAGTATTCCTCCGAGCTGGTAGTGAAATGGCAGTAACAAGTTAGGGCAACCGAGCAAGGTTATTTGTTACCAGTCTCCCATTCTGTCCTTGTCAAGCTAGTCCCAACCTTCCCCTGAGCTCTCCATGCCACGCTTAACCACCCTTCGTCTCCAGTGCCGCTCTAGGGTTGCTTCTTGTCCCCTTTTTATAGTCAGGCAGTTTCCTCTCTGTACTTCGTAAGCGGTGTCAGGGAGTCATATGTGAGCACGGCCTACAGCAGCAGAGGAGAGCTCTGCTTAGTCTCATTTACGAAGCATGGTGTGACTGAAATCTTTGAGAAACTGAGATTAAAATAATCAAATTCAAAAAAGTGTAGTATGTAGAGTTAAAACTCTCGTATTCTTGAGAGACAACTGTTTATTCTAACAGTTATTTATAAACCTATTAATAAGTTTCTAAACCAATTAAAGTAAGTTTATTCTTAAATAAACCTTGATTTTTTTCCCCTGTGAAATTCAACTCACTTTTCCAAAGCTAGGAGGCACCAGTGCATCTCCTCAAAAAAGTCGTCACCAGAATTGCAAACTGAAAAGTTTGGCTTGAGCTGTTGTCACAGAATTTTTCTAAAAACCGAAATATATTCATCCTTAAGACATATCCTAAATGTAGAAATCAGTTAAATTTGATCACCACAGCCCCTCTGCCTTCAAAATGGGATGCCTTGTGTAGCTTTTGGCACTAACAGGAGTTCTTCCCCACCGTATTATTTATTTGCGGTGTTAGTGTAAGGAGTTGCGCACGTGTGACTGCTCACGTCTATAAAGTGGCATTTTCGTCTTTCAAACGCTCATCTGCAGGGGGAAGCTGCTGTAATACGATGACCACAGGCTCATGTACATCCCCGTGAGAACGTACCGCACTGTGCTTGGCAGGTTATAAATTCACACCTTCGCTTACTGCATCCTAAATTCATATGAGCAAGCCCATGGCTGTCACAAGCTGTCATAATTGAAAGACACAATTGTTGTCCTTAATGTCATTAAAATTCCACATTTCTTTCCCTTTCAGACCCTCTTCTGCGTGACTACTGGGTGTATGAGGGCTCTCTAACCATTCCGCCCTGCAGTGAAGGTGTCACCTGGATATTGTTTCGCTATCCTTTGACCGTGTCCCAAGTGCAGGTAACGGCTGTATGTAAAGTGACCTTGGGATATGGCTATGAGCTAAAGGTTGTAGCGTGCAAATATATATGTCAGGACGTTATACCTGTTCTCCTGGAAGATCCCATTAGATCAGTACATGGCTTTTCAAGTAAAGGTTAAGCCTTTTGAGTCACTGAAAGCAATGCAAAGGTCAGAGATGAAAAACCTTGTTACCATTTATCTGCATTTAAAATAATTCTTTATTTAAGTGAAAGAAAAAGGAAGAAGTCAATGGGCAAAAGAAGTTCAATTCTTTGTAATTGTAAGCTTTCAAATACCACTGCTTTTTGATGTTAAAGGAACAAAAAAGCACAGGGAGACACTATGTCCTGGAGAATGAAAAATGTTAACACAGTACAGGTGAACTATATTGCATTGAGCTATATTTAACTTACCTTGCTCTTTTTTAATTCTGTTTTATAATAAATGTCAAAGGGAAACTACCTGTTTAAATTTGATTTCACACGTGTGTATTTTAAAGTGTTTTTTTTTCTTTTTAAATTATATCTACCAGTCATGTGAGCCGTTCTATGGAAAACATTTCAAATCTGTCTATAAATAATCCCAGTAAAACCAATGAAAACTCCTGATGAATACACTCCCGCAGTCTGTGAATCCCAGCTGGAGGAGTGTGGGTTCAATTTAAGTGAAACTGTCTAGAATCCCTGAAGCTGAATGCGTTAATTTTCATTGCCTGCTCTGAAGCATGTGCAAACAGAAGGGAAAAAAAGTATAAAAGGTGATAAATTCAGATTTAAATTACTTCAGCTTTAATAATATAAAATTTTGCTACTAATCCCAGCACAATGTTTTAACAGTTTTAAGGATTTGAAATTGGCAGTGTTTCTTTTCATAGGAAAACTGAATTCTAGTTTCAATCATAGAGTATAAGCAATAGCTCCCAATCAGCTTATTTGTATGGTAGCTGCGACTTAAATGTATCCTGTCATGAGTCTGGTATTTTTTTGCTCGTGAAAGCTTAAGTCTTATGGCTGCTTACTGCTGAGTAAATGGAAACAGAACTGTGTTGGCATGATTAGATTCAGATTAACTTTTAAAGGCAGAGTGCATTTTGTAACTTGGCAGCTAGTTGTCCAGATACGGTATGGGTAAATAAGAGGCCTTAATCAGAAGTATAAAGATCATAGCTATTACACTGAGACATTGTATGGTATTTTATTTCCTCTAGTTGCAGATTTTTTAGTCTCTATTCCCTTTTAATCCACTCAGTGCACAGAGGAGGGCACAGTTCAAGCCATCCACGTGCGGTGGGAGATGGTGAGAGGGTGAATGAAAGAGGCGTTAAGCAGAGAAATGCAACTTTAGTTCATATTATTGTGTACTCATTTACCACAAGGAAAGAGCATGTTGGAACGTGGGGTGAAGGGGGTGTCTCCAGAAGAGGATATTGTGCCTGGTGGAAAAGAGTGACCCATAGCGCCTTGGAAAAGGGCGTGACTCATAACCCCGGCCCTCTTTAGGTGAGGGTAGCTGGGTCGTGTTGCCGCCTTGCTTTGGTTGCTATAAACCCAACCCAGCCAGAACATCCCAGTGCTGAAGGGCGCCCAAGTCATGGAAGGGCTTTTCTTCTGCCGCTGACCCAGCATGCAGGTGAGACTGGCCCTGGAGCAGAGGGGGTGATTGAAGCAGGTTTGTGCCGCTATGATCCATGATACTTGGTACTTGTTGAAGATCAGCATCAATTAGAAAAAAATATCCTCACAGCTCGTTGTGGATGCAGCAGCATCACAGTCAAGGTTGTGTAGAAGAGACTTGCTAAGAACATGAATGACTTTTGCCAAGGTGCGATAAAAATTTTCCTTGCATCAGGTACCGCTTTCAGATGTCAAATGTGGGGACAAGTGAGTAAGAGATGGCGATTCTGGGATTTCAAAGTCAGCCGGGACTGAGAGTTCTCCAGGATCCTCAAAATAAGATTTGGGGGTGCCAGAATATTTTGTTACAGCTTGGACATCCGAGATTTTGACTTGAAATTAGCATTTTGGCTGCAATTAAGTATCTGTCCTCTTTTGTGCATGCAGGCATGAGTACCTATGAGTGGTTCCATTTAAGGAGAGATTAGAAATGCAAGGGCTTTTGTCTGCGGAGAGTGAGAGGCTGTAGTATAGCATACACCATTCTGAACCACCTGTGGAAGGCTGGTAGAGGCATTCAATTTTATTAAGCCTACTTGTAGTATTAAAACATAGATTTCAGTGCAAATGCCTTTCTAATGGATTTAAATACATTATTTTTACATGTGTCATTAACTTGTAGAATTTTCTTCTATGGGATACTAATGAACACGGCTTGTGAAACTTCAAGCGATTTATATAAATACTGGTAGCATCTGTGGTTATAGCGAGTAAGATACAGTGTCAAGGCTTTCTGTTTTCGTTTTTCAGGCCATAAAATAATCAACTTCTGAGTGTCAATAACAAGTAACCGTAAAGCACGACAGAGTCTGATCTGGGATAGGTTTTCTTGCCTTCCTCTGATGAAGCTTGTTAATATATTGGAGACAAGATACTCATTCACATTCTCGTTTTCTGTAATTAACATAGCAGTACCGAGTAGCTTAACAAACTGTGGGTCATAAGGGGAAGACATGAATAAAATTGCAATTCTGGTTCATGGTCACATCTATGTATTTTCAGATTTACTTATTTTGAAACAGTGGAGAAGTAACGATTTTGGCACAGGCATAATAGGCTGAGCATTGCAAAGCAGAGAACTTTTTCTTTTGTTTCTCCTGAAGACATTTGTAGATAGGGAAGCTCAACTGCTGGGCTGCTTTGCTGCTGATCGAAGTCAGTGTAAGGAAAGGAGATTCATCTCCGTATGCAGCTCACTGCAGCAGCTGGGATCAGAGTGGGTTGGTTATGTGAGCAGCAAAAGAGCAAGCCAGGACTGAGCATCAGGCCGTGTTTTCCTGGAGGCCGTTGCCTCACTGGAAGTCATTTGCTTTGACATGAGGGTTCCCTTCCATCAGAGAGCTGTTTCCTTCGTGGGTCTTTGTGTGAGATCTGGGTACAGCCGGCGAGCGGCTCTTCTCCCCTGGAGAAGGGCTTTGCAAGCTGGGTTCTTGGAGTTTGATTACTGACCTCAGTGGCAAGGAGCTTGTCTGGAAAGCTGCACCCTGTGGTGCTGTTTCTGCACGTTGCTGCCCTCCTTTTGTGGTTTTTATCATCCTCACTTGTCTTATGTTGAAATACACAGCCCAGAAAGAACTGCATTGAGTGCTTCCGTGAGACACCTTGCCCCTGCGCAGACACAGCTGGAATGCAATGGGAGAAAATAGAAAACTCCCTCCTATTAGGCCAGTAAAGAGCAGGAAATAATCAACAAAGGCTTGCTCATGCTTCTCTCCACTAGATTTTTAAAAAATGGGACATTTGTGAATAATGTGCTTTGTGGTTCAGTGAAGCCTAGAACATTGTCTAAGCCACTCGGAGTAGGGATTTTAAACAATGATGCGGCAAGGAGCTGTGGTTCTGCTGTACTCATTGTCAGAGCTGGCTGGTTTTGTATTGAATGACGAGGTCTCTAGTCCTTTTGTCTGCCTCACTCAAAATCAAGACCTCCTAAAGGACAGAAATGGTAACTAGCATATGGAACTGGAGTGGGAATTGCGCAAAATTTACGTAGTCTGTGAAAGAAAGCGCTCTCAGAGGTTCCCAGTACTCTGTTCACTGGGTCTTGGGAGGTGTCATGGAGGCATGTGGAATTTTCAAGCAGAAGGATAGCGCTTGTATTCCTCATACAGCAGAAATGTTTGTAAACATGCAAATACTTGGTCTTGTGTGTTCTGTTCTTCAGCAAACATTTAAGTGAAACAGATGAAAGCAGTGTTCAGGATCTGAAGACAGGGAAGTGGTGAAACCAGTCCTGCAAAATTCTGCAAGACATGAACTAAATGCTCTTACTCAGTAGAAATGTGACGGTTAACATTCTGGATTTATCCCTTCACTGGTTAGAATTTGATCCTGAATTTTGGTGTGAACAGGCCTGGATCATCCTTAGTGTCTTCTGGGCATGAGAAGAACTTTTATAAATGGCTATTCCTGTTGAAAGTATGTGAGTATCCAGGGGGGCTTGGCCGGGTGCCTCTAAAATACCTGTTTCCTTGGCAGCCCTGCGGGGTGTACTTCACTGCGTTGACTTGTGAGGGGTTGGGAGGAGATAGTAAGTTGTTCTGTGTGAGATGAAGCAGGATGAGTGGGGCACACATATTGCCTTATCACATGACAGTTTAGTAGGAAAAGTCGTGTCAGCACAGCTAGTGTCCTCTTCTGAGAATACCGCTTCTCAGGGGTGGAGCAGAGCACAGAGAGGCTCTGTCATGGCGGTCTGAACCATGACATGAAGGATGAAACGAGGAGGCTGGTGATCTCTGGAGCAGTTCCCCATTGGAGCAGGGCTGCAAATCTTGACTTCCCTGACGGCTAAAGAGCTTTCCTGGGGATCAGGTCAGTGCTCCTTCTCTGACTGAAGGAACTGGAAGCTGCTTTGTGGGGAGTGCCTCCTGGAGAAAGAGTTCACTGTGGGGATGTGGACAGAACAGTTGTAGATGCGGGAGGAGACAGCTCACAAACGCCAGCTTTGCAGAGTCTGCTCTTCCCTCTCCTTCATCTCTGTTTGTTTGAAGTCTCTTGTTCTCAAAAGATCACACGGCAGCCACTTTCTTGTAAAATGCTCCTTCCTAAACTGCAATTATTTGAGACTTTCCATGGTTGATTCACATGGTGAAAGAGGCTCCCTGTACAAAACCCATTCAGTGATTTACCAGCACTTGACTCCTGATGACTTTTTCAGTTCCAAGCCTATAGTAGGTTTGTTTTCAGTTTGCTTTAAACAAACAAACAAAATCTTCCTAAACAGGGTTTTGCCTCTAAAAGCACCTTCAAGGAGCTTTACAGTTTGTTCTGCTTTTCATCTTTTGAGTCTAAGCTGTTGCCTTCTATCTCGGCTGCAAGAAGCTGAGTGTTGATTTCTAAGCACACTGGTTTTTGAGGAAAATAAGCAGAGCAGAGCTGGCCTCTAAATCAAGCACATAAGTCTGTATCAATTCTGCTGTAGAGTGGAAAACGACAATGAAGGCAGTTGTCTTCCAGGTTGTGGTAAGGAAGTATTCTCTGCAGGCAGTGTAAGAATAAAAATGCCATGACCTGCTGTTTAGTACCTCATTTCTTTTAATTCTGGAATCACACTTGCTTCCTTTCTGTAATCCTTCACGGGGTGTTTTTCATGGAGAAATCAACTCTCTGTAATCTGAGATGATAAAATGATTAAATACTTCAGGCTGCATTTTGCTTTCTGTGTAGCTTCACTTTCAAGGCACAGCTGAGCTGGATGGTGATGGGGGTGAGCACAGGTACAAGGGCTCAGGCTGGGGCGGGCAGCCTTCGAGTAGGTTTGCTGTATCCAGCTAAGATAGCTTGTCAATATGCCAAGGCAAAAACAAACACTGTTTTTTTTTTGTAGTTGTAACTACTTATTTAAAATACCAGACTCTTAAAAGCAGCACTGTTGAACAAGAAGGTACAATATTGCTGAGGTATGCATTGATTTTCTTAGTTTTTTGTCACACAGAGCTTGATGCTGATACTAGGGATGGAGATAGAAGCTGCTCACAGTCTTCCCTACATCAGATTAGGTTTAGAAAAAACTTTAAAAGTGTCTATGAACAGGAAATATATTTGTTTTGGACCAATTGAGATGTTTTATATATCGATTTTTGTTTGTATTTTAGTTACACTTAGCACCTACATCTACAGAACTTTTGGCGTGGTATTTTGTTTTGATTGGAAAAACCATATTTTTCCATATAAAATGTTTACAGACTTCCTCTAAAGCTCAGAGTCTGTCCAGAATTCTCCTGGTTTAGAAAATAATTTTTGTTTAAATGCAGCAACAATTTCAGGCAATAAATAGATCACTGGAAGAAATTCAAAACTGTTTGTAGTCAGGTTACTCATGAAATGCACTGCTCTGAAGAAGCCCTGGGTGATGACTCTCATGGCACAGCTGTGAGGTTGGTTCATAGGACGTAATGGCTAAGAAGATCACAGGTCCCAAAAGGAGTTACAGAAAAGGAAAGGATGAGTTTACTGAACCACGTGCATAAAAATTCTTATTTTTCTCTGCATGTTAAATGTACTGACAGTGCTGACACCTATTTTGAAATGCTGTTACTGCTGTATATTGACCTCAGGGTGTGGAGCCTGAACACTCCAAGTTTCAGAGCTGCAGAAGCGGCTGGGCAAGGCCAATTTGGGTCATTAGTCCCATAGAGAGGAATGTGTCTCAGCTTCTTCATGTCTGTCTTTCTGCCTTTCAGATAGAGGAGTTTCGTCGTCTGAGGACGCATGTTAAAGGTGCTGAACTTTTAGAGGGCTGTGATGGAATCCTAGGAGATAACTTCAGACCGACTCAGCCACTTAGTGATAGAGTCATCAGGGCTGCATTTCAGTAGCAGAAGAAGAACAGCAAAAATAAATCTTTATTCAGGTAAGTAAAAGCTTAGCAGAAAAATCAAAACATTGAATTAATTTTCATAGGGAAGATTCAGCTAAAGGAGAAAACGCACTTGGGTCATTTCAGCTAATGTTGTGGTGCATTGTCACAACTGCAAACTTTGGCACTACTGTTTTATTTCATCCTGTGGTATAAATGTTTGGTTCTGTAGTGGATGGAGTATTTTGGTTACTATTAGGTTCTTTAGTGGCTGGAATCTAACAGGCGATGGTTGTATTGACTTCAGTAGGCAGCGGATCAGGCACCGTTAGAGCACAGTTACTTCTTGTAGCTTTAAATTTCTCCTGCTGCAGTGAGCAACAGCACAGGGTGCCTAGGTTTGGTGGTGGATTTCCCCAGTTACTGAGGTGCACTGATAGGCTTCTTACTGTGTTCTGAGGAGACATCATCGGTGAATCTTTCTAGTGTTATCTGTTAAAAACCACTGTGGTAGTTCTGGCAGGAGGCCTTCAATTCTCAAAGGAGGCCTTTGGGGTTTTTTTGGATCCCCTCTCTCTGCTTTACAATGATGTTCTTTCCCAACAAGGTTGAATCTTGGCCAAAACCAGTGTAGATTCAAGAGGAAACTAGTTAGCTTCTGTCATGGCTGATTTTTTTTCATGTTTCATTCATCAAAATAGTTGTTGCTTCTTGGCCTCAGTGATGTTTTCAGCCTTCATTGGCTTATAGGGCGAGCATTTAAGGCTGACGTTGGATTCAGTGCATAGGAGCTGATACACATGTGAGCCTGCGTTATCCCCGCTTCAGTTACTAAAACTTCCCATGCCATGCTCCCCTTGCCTCTATCAGTTACAAGATAAATTCCCTCAATGTTCAACAGTTCCTCCTAAACCTCATTATACTTAGGTAATCAATGTTTTCCTATAATGAAAAAGCTGGTAATGAGATTCTTGGAGAGTTAAAGCAAATTTGCTATCAAGGACTTAGTGAGTCAAGACACCAACATTTATGGTTGATTTTGTGATGAAGTGGTCCCACTTTGATACAAATAGTAAGACAGCTATTTGAAGACAGGGAAGTCTTCAAGAAAAGAATTAATCTGTTCACTCCTTTAATAAATCCTGCTACTTTTTAACATAGTAGCATTTTTCATCTACTGTCCTACAATAAACTTTATTTAAATAGTAAAAACATTGGGTACTCCCCGTCACCCTATTTTACCATTATCCATCCACTATTAAAAGGCATCAGTTTTTCTATCTGCACGTTTCTTCAAAGCCATATGCTCACAAGAGAACCAGTTCATCCGAAGCGTCACCTGGAAGCATGCTGCTGACAGGTTTTGATAACGCTTTTGGGTGAGGACATTTATTTGTACATTAAAGTCTTGCCCTGTCTAGGTCAGTGACGGAACTCCTTCGTTCAGGTCGGGCTCTGTTGTGGAGTTAAGCCTCTTCAGAGCACGCTCTCGGTCCAGCCCCGACCTTCATGTGAAGTTAACGAATGATCAGGCAGCAGATAACCTCTGAAAGGGATAGATAATTCAGTGCTTCCAAAAATGGATCCAGTAAAACCAGGTGGGAAGATTATCTTTCCTCCCACATGAGACAGAAGTTATTAAATGGGCTGGGACAATGGCCAAATGTTTCGTGGTCTTTTCATGTAGCATAGGCATTCACTGTAGTGTGTGCATTGAAACATTTTTAAAGTAAGGGTTTGTTTGTATTTCTTAACGCTATTTAATATCCGCGTCCCAGAAGCTAAGCAAAGAAAGCAAAACATCGGTCCTTTTATTAATACTGTTTTCTCACTTCCGTACTTAATTTTGAGCACATCCCTAAGCCCAGCTCTCAATTATATGGTTCTCTGCAGTCACCAAATGTTGTCACTTTAATCTTGAAATGGATGTTTCAAATTCATCCCGGCTTCTGCATAAAAATTACTTGGGAAAATCATAGCAATATTAAAGTACAATTTTTCTCAGAGAGTGAATAATGCCCTCAGGCCAGTGCAGGTAATTCAAGTCTGTAACAGTGAAATTACCTGACACGCTGAGTTTGAATTTTAAGCGTGAAAGAATTTCCTTTACAATGCTGGAATTGAAATGTAAAAATTTCCCTTTTGCTTTCATGTTTGAAATTTTATTACATTTGTCAATACTTACAAAGATTTGTTTTAAATAATAAGATTTATCGTGGCCATGCTTCACAAAATAATCTGCAGTTTTAATTCCCAAATGATGGAACTTTTAATGTAAAGCGATGGTCCTCACTGTACGGCTATGCTAATTATGGACTCAAGCAATGAGAAAGAACTGTGACTCCTGGCATTGTGTAGCCCGCAGAAGAAATGGCACTTGGCTCTCTACCCCTGACTGAACTATTTATCAGAAATTCACCTGGCCAGGTCTTCTTTTGAGTCTTGGGATGCATCCATCCAAATAGCGCTGAACCAATCAAGGCTTCACAACATATCTTTGCTATTGAGGTTGTCTCTGGGGAGCTGGAAAAATGAAGCGTAAAAAGAAATGGTGTGGCTTTGATCACCTTTCCTCTGTGCAAAGAGGGAGAAAGGGAAGAAGACAATCCTGCCTACCTTGTGGTGATTTCTTTGCCTAGTTCTCTCCAGGAGGAAGGTGCTGAGGAACAGTAGCTCCTCACACAGACCTCAGGCATCCTCACAATGGACACCTTCCCTCCTTCCCAGGAATGGGTAATGGGCCTTAAGCTGGGACTGCTGACATGATTGCTACCAAGACTTAGCAGGTGGGGAGGGAATAGTTTGCAGGGTGGCATCTACATAGTGGTCCAAGAGGGAGCTTTTCTTCCTTTCAAAGAGGAGATTGCCTTTTGTTTTAAAGCTCTGATATGTCTTGAATATTACAGTTATGAACACGCTGGTGGACTTCTTTTCTGACACGATGCCCCTCTGCCAAGGCTGCTGGGACTCCTGTCAGTAAAGTTTTCAATATTTTATTCCAAGCTAGTCTGGTACAGCCATTTGAAGGACCTTGAGGAACATTAGTTTTCCATGACCTCGTCACTCTTGTCAGGGAAAGACCCAGTGGGAAGAGAATTGGAAAAAAAAAATATCTCGTGGGTTGAGTTGAGAACCGTTTAATACTTGAAATAAACTAAAATAATAATAATAGTGATAATAATTGTAAAAAAATAGGAGGATGACAAAAAGAGAGAGAAATAAACCCCAAGACAAACAAGTGATGCACAGTGCAATTGCTCCCCAACCGCAGATGGATGCCTGAGCGGTGATCGGCACCTCCCGGCCAACTCCCCCGAGTTTATGTACTGGGCATGGTGTCCTGCGGTATGGAATAGCCCTTTGCCTAGCTCAGGTCAGCTGTCCTGGCCGTGCTCCCTCCCAGCTGCTTGGGCACCTCCTTGCTGGCAGAGCAGGGGAGACTGAGAAATCCTTGACTTAGGATAAGCACTGCTTAGCCACAACTCGTGTATCAGTGTGATGCCAATGTTATTCTCATACTGAAGCCAAAGTACAGCACTATACCAGCTCCTAGGAAGAAAATTATCTCTTTCCCAACTGAAACCAGTTGTCTCAAAGGTGCACATCCCAGACACCGTTTATTTTGTATCTGTAAATAAAGAATTGTCTTCCAAGTATGCTGATGGCTTATACCTACTCCATCTGCCTATGTACATTACTCTGGTTTTCCTGAACTTATTTTTTGTGACTGATTCAGGAACTCCTGAAAAAGCATCAGTTTTTAGATATGCAAATGCACGTACACGTTCATACAGACACCTCCGTCTTTGGTAGACCTCAGACTGTATGTAGCTGCAAGTTTATCCAATGTCCCGTAAGTTATGATAGAAGAAATTGATTTGGATTAAACCCCATTCTTAATATAATTACCATTTTCCTAGTTGTACATTCAAGATTAGAGGGGGAAAAAATAAATGACATCATTAAAATACCAAGGTTGTGCTAGGCCTGAGGAACAGGAAGGGGTCATTTAGGGTGGGAGGAGCAGAGACAGCGTGCGTGGTACTGCAGAGGCTGTCTGCGTGGTGCTGAGAGCTCTGAGCAGGCCAGCAGAAGTTGCCCCAGCAGTCGTTTCGCAGTGAGGGGAGCGGGCGAGGTGGTGACTGTGTCTGCTGGATGGTGCAAATGACTTGCTTCTGAGGCTGCTGAGCCGCTCTGGTGGCAGCAGGACTGTGCCACCCTTTCCGTGGGACATTGCAGAGGGGATCCGTGGGAACGAGCTAGCACTGAGCAGGGAGCGGGGTGCACTCCTGTCTTTGTGGTGTTGCACATTGTGTGGCCACTAGAGGACAGACCATGAAGGGGCGTTCGGATAGGGCGAGCTGTGGAGCTGTGCCCTGCCTTCGAGAGACAGAGGTAAGAGGGGCACGGTGCTGTGCTCTGTATTGCTTTGCCTAAGCAGATGTCAGAGAAGTTTGCCTTTGAACGGAGGGTTATGTTACCAATCAATGGATGTCTTCACTCCCAGTTCACCTTTGAGGTTCCTGCAGTTCACAAACAAGTTGCTCTGTGGAAGTTCTTGCACTCGGGGATTTAAGCTTTTCTGTTGTGAGCTGGAGCGAGCTTTCAGCAGCCATGCATCACTAGGCTGCTACGACCATTCTTCTCTTTTTCCGGGTTTAAAAAAACCCCAAATATTATCAGCACTAGTTCTTTAGAAATACAAACGCCAATTTCCTGGATTTGATGAAATGCAGGTATTTACGCTGCTTCTCAGCAAGTGGTTTTTCATCGCTCATTGTTTGTCTCCCTGAGTTTAGGGTTTGTGGTTAGTTTAATTGTTAAGTTTCAGTCTTTGAAAGAAACTTGACTTCCCATTATCAACAAAACCAGCTATTGTTCTCCTGTTTTTAAGAGCTTATTGTGCAGTGCCCAGCATGCTGCTGCCACTTCAGAGTACTTGACTGTAGGACAGAGGGCCAAACAGCTTTGGCTTGTGAGCCACACACCGTAATCGGAGACCTACTGGAAACACACCGAAACT